TGTTCTTTCCACTGTAACAGTACGTTCATTTTCCATCACCAGACTAGAGATGGGTTTCTAAGGAAGTGTGACACGGGACTTTCCCAGAGACTGGAAGGGTTTATTGATAAACATATTTCTCATTCTACTGATTGGGAAGAGCTGTTGGTGAATTAAATCATGCTTTACCACCACAGAAAGTGAGTCCGTAGCCTTCTTCGGACAGATGTCTGTTAACAGCTGGTCAAAAACTCCTGTCATACCACAGCAGTCTAGCTACAAGGAAACAAAAAAGAAAACCACGTTAAATAATCCTTATTTTTGCTTTGTATTTGGTAAAAAGGGAGAAATAGATTAAGTTTTATTACAGACCGTATATACATTTCCTTAGAACTGTCTGCCTCTTTTACCACTATAAATGTCATTTTGAAAAGCCTCTATTACATTAAAGGACAAGAATCTGAAAAGAAGACCTAGATCTCATTAAGCATACACACATTTTACCAGCTTGCTTCTGAATTTTTGGAAAACAGTAACTAGTTCTATGCATTTCAGATGTTCAAAAGAACAAAAAAAGCATACTGGATTAACTAATACAATACAAAGATATCTTCTCTGCAAGTTGTTACTAATACTCCCTTGGTTTCTTCTAGTTAGTACGGTATTAGAGTTGTACAGGGAACTGGATGACACGGAGACCAGTGTTAACAAGGTATATTACTGTCTAGTTTAAGTATAACTATGTACTTACAGCTGCGTGAAATGCTTTCAGGGTCTCTCTGGCAGCTGGTTGGGATCTCTTCTCATAGGTTTCCCTGTAGAATTCCTGTAACTCATCAATAACCTACAAGATAGCAAAGATTTGTGGTTTATTACTGTTCTACCTGAATATTACTTATTGAGAACTATCATAAAAAATTCTGCAACATAAAATACCCATCCTTTTGACAGGTAGAAATAGAGGGTGGACATCTGGACAGCATTTCTCACCCAGAACAGGTGAGCCCAACTGGTACACTCACTTTAAAAGCCACACCTGAGCAGATAAGATTCAGAATTTCCCTTCCAAACCTCAGCTTCTAGGTGGAGTGAGCAAACCAAGTCTTTGCCCATTGGTTACACAAAAATATTCCCTCATCATTTCTGCACACTAGGAGTTGCTATATGCCCATCAGGTAATACAAGGAAGAAAGTAACTCTTATCACCAAGCACCTTATTTTGAAACAAAACAGAATCCTGACTGCCTGTGAGAGGACAACCCAAATCAGTCATGCCTTAAATACAGAAACATTGAGCAAACAGCTGACATAGCTCCATCTAGAAATGGTGAAGCTTCACTGCTCAGCCAGGTACTGCCTGGAGAGCATCTCTAGCATGCAACAGCAGCCTGGATTCTGGCTTATGGGCTATAGTCTCATTTTTAAATATTAGGGTTTAATTCCTTTTATTGTTTTGCTAGAATGTGTCTTCTTCCTCTCCCCTCAATTCCCTGGGTCATCAAGATTTCACTAGTACTGGTACAGTTTTCAGTAGACTGCTAACTTTCCATGGGCACAGTCACAGAATCGTAGAATGGTTTGGGTTGGAAGGGACCATTTAAAGATCATCTAGTTCCAATGGCCCTGCATGGGCAGGGACACCTCCTACTAGACCAGATTGCTCAAAGCCCCATCCAACCTGCCCTTCAGCACTTTCCATGATGGGGCAGCCACAACTTGTCTGGGCAACCTGTTCCAGCATCCCACCACTCTACCAAATGTTAAGAGCAACCTACCTTTTCTTTATTTGCAAATCCCCAGATTGCAGCAGCAATTTCAAGGGCAAAAATAACAAAAAGGAAGAGGAAGAACTAGGAAAAAAAAAAAAAGACCACATCATTATTTAAGACAACAGCACTAAAACCCAGCATCTCGCACATGTACTGCAGGCTTGGCCAGTTCCCAGTGTTCAGCCTTCTGGGAACAGTCACTCAATCAGTTTCCAGTGGGAGACCTGAAATGCTGGTAAGACTAGAAAAGAGGATATACTGCACTGGGTCAGCATTTCTTCCAGGAGCATCAGAAAGCCTGGCTGTGTTTTCCAAACCGAAGTCCTCCTTTTTGATCAGTATTAATTAAAACCAATCATCTCTAACTCCGACTTTGAAGTTGCACAGGTCACTCCAGACACATCACAACAGTTGATGACAATTCTTTTCTCTGGCTTGTCACTCCTATTGCTTTAGGAGTCATTACTTCATACCTAGCTTGTCAGCAACTCCCAAAGAGCTAATGGTCACTTCTTCATTGTGTACTACGTAAAATAGAAATAAAGTGTCACCTCCATGTTTAATTGACTGGAAGGTCCAACACATCACTATCATTTAAAGGCACTTTAAAGAGATCTTCATAATTACAAAGGGCTAGAGGCATAATGTTGCAAGAAATATATTAAATTAACTTCTTTCATGACACAACAGAGGACCTGTTCTTTCCCTGCCTGCAGCAGTAGTCTTTTATTAACTAAGTGTTCTGGTTATTTGGATGAGTAGTCCTACAAGTGTACAGACGTGCATGAACCCAGTAAGCTTCACTAGCTCCTCCAGTCAGAAAACAATGAGGTTGCTCTCCAAAAATTGGCTTGCAAAGCAGTTGTCAACTAGAAGAGTTCATCCTGTGATTATGAACAGTAGAGGCTTGTTGTTTCAAGGATCAAATACCACAGTTCTGGCCTCAAAGACTGAAGATTGCACAGTCTCCAGAGTTCAGGGCAAAGTGTTTAATAAAGAGCATTACTTTCATTAACATTTTAGTTCTCTATTTGCACATACTCCCAGCTTTGTTGCTTCAGTGTCTGAATATGTCACTAACTCCTGAAGTAATCTTGTATTCAAATACAACACAGACATTTCAGTTTAGGGCCAGAAATGGAAACTGTATGTCATTAACCTTTTAGGTGTAGGTGCCATGAGTTTAAATGTGGTGGAGGCAAAACAATCAGCATCCGCTGTCCTTTAACTGCACAGTAATACTTTCCTTCCTTTCTCATCACGCTGCTAAAAATGTAACACTATTCTGAACACTTACCATGCCAAGCATACATTGAGATTCCTGCAATGCACCACAGCATCCCAAGAAACCAACCAGCATCATAAGTGCACCAGCTCCAATTAGGATGTAAACTCCTAGAAAGGAGAAAAAAAGACATGTAATTGAGGCCTCAACAGCATGGGAGAAAATTAGTTGCTCAACACATTACATTTGTAGTTTTTCCCAAGTTTTAAATTTCTTTATTGATGTATTCCAAGAAAAAAAAAAAAAAAGAAAAGGACTGTGCTCAGTTTTCAAAGCAAACATCTCAACTTGTGGGAAAATTTATTAATGAAAACTCCAACTTGTAACAACTAATCACTACTGCAGTTTCACAAGTTTCAGAAAATGAGCAAGATAAAGCCATCCAAATCAAACTGTAAGGCACATTTTCAAGCTAACTCAGAGCCAGAGTAACCAGCTTATCTACAGATCAAGAGTGTGTTGAAGTTAGAGACAGCTGGAACTTGTGATGTATCAACACCTGAGAATTCTCAATGCACACTGCCTCTAGGAGAACAGGTATCAGAAGTCATCATCATCATCTGTCATAAGGCATTAAATGCTTTCCTACCCTGCTTTTTCATCAAGAAACACTTATTTATTCCACCAGTCACAGTGGTACAAATCTACACTTCCCCTACCCAACTTGATGGCATCTCTAACTACAAGAAACTCCACATTTTCTGCTTTTGCAGAGGCAGATGCTTCAAACCATACCAAGCCACTCAGCTTGTAGACCATTCTGCCCTGAATTTAGGTAGCAAGTGTTGGGAGTGTAGAGGGCAAACACTTCTGGATTAAATGGCTTCATTCATGCCCAATCCTCTCCTTCTAAGCTTGGAAACTACCAGCTTAACAATTAGAGCTGCTAGCTGGTGAGAGCAGCAAGGCCTAGCAAGCAACACCCCTTCAAAGCAGAGCAAGAGAAATACTTTTGGGGTGGTGAAACATGAGAGAGAGTCAGCACAAAGCCTGTAGAATTAGCACCACATTTCTATCAATTTAGACAAAACTACAGCCTGGCCATCAGATACCAAATCAATAATACTATTTAAAGAATGCCATAGGTCAGCATTTGCAAATTATAACTTTTAGATGCACATGGATAATGTTAGCTGCCAAAATAAACATCTCCTTGATTAAGCATATGTAAGTGATTAAGCCTGACATTTCTTATCAGCAGGAAATTCCAGCACCCATTTTTTTTTGCCCTAAACTAAGTTTTCTGTTTTGAAAAAAAAAGGGTGCATTAGAACCCCTTATTCCAGTTTATTTTTCATAGTACAGAAAGTTTTTGAGGTAGCTTACTTTGTTATTGGGTACAAATTGCTAGATTCTTTCAATTTCCCCATCAGAAACTGTAGTCAGTAACACTTTAAAAAAAATAAATGTTAAAACAGCAATTCCTACTAAACTTTTTTAAAAACTCAGTTTAACCTATAGAGATTTCAAGTAGGTTTTACTGTTTTGCTGCATTCAGCCAGTAGTATCACATAAAATGTTTATGTTGTAGGAGGTTGAAGAGTTGTTTTGGACTAACCAAAATAAGACTTGTTAAATATTCAGCACAATGGCTAAGCTTAGGTTTCTGCTTCCTTCCCCAGGTCCAGTTAAAAGCTTCTGGAAATCTGCATGGCAGCAGCAAGAACCCAGGTTGCTACCATATCAAGGGTGAAATACAAACTTCCTTGAAGATAAGCAGCTTGCATGCCTGTGGCCTCTTTGAGATGTTGCACAAGCATTTCAATATTCCAAACTACGGCCTCTAACAAGCCTAATGCATCATTCCTAACAGCACACCCTGTAGGCACAGGCTACCCTGGTACTGTAAGGCTACAACCTAAGTTGCACCTACCAGCCTGCCTTACAGGGTCTTTACTGACCGGTTTGAATGTTGTAACAGACTGAGTAGCTCAGCAGAGGAGCCACCTTCCTTGACAAAAGAATCACAGAATCATCTTGGTTGGAAAAGACCTTGAAGGTCATCAAGTCCAACTGTAACCTAAATCCACCAACCATAACCTAATCTATCAGTTCAGGGATTAAATCATGTCCCTAAGCACCACATCTATATTTCTTTTAAACACTTCCAGGGATCATGACTCCACCACCTCCCTGCGCAGCCTTTTCCCATGTCCAAACACTCTTTTGGTAAAGAAATTCTAATACCCAGTCTAAACCTCCCCTGGTGCTGCTTCAGGCCCTTTCCTCTGGTCCTGTCATTATTCACTTGAGAGAAGAGGCCAATCCTCACCTCCCTACAACCTCCCTTCAGGTACTTGCTGAGAGCAATGAGGTCTCCCCCTCAGCATCCTCTTCTTCAAACTAAGAGTCAACTAAGGAAAGACTAACCTAACCACACTGTGGGTGGCTAACCAGTGATGCCATGCAGGACATGGCAATCCAGATGCTATAGAGATATGTATAAGGATTGTCCAAATCAAAGATGATGTGTATATAAGAAAGGTACACATTTGCTTTGTTCGTAATTGCTGGTCTTGAAACTCAGCTACTTGTTTTCAGAAAGGATTTGAGCACCAACAGGTGACAACCTAAGAAGGATGCATTCTTCTACCCAAGCCTAAGTGACTGTAGAGACCAAAATCTTACAGTTAGGGTAAAACATTATTCCATTAGGGCATTATAATAGCAAACCAAAGCCACATGTGTTTATCCCCAAACTGGTCATCAGGCTGACTGAGGCTTTGCCTGTGGAAAGCCTTGACTCAGGTCCTATAAGACCACAAAATATTGATGAGGAACTCCCACCTGGCCTAACTAAAGCTGTATTGATCTAGTTTGCCTCTAACAGTTGCTCATATAGACGAAAATATTAGTGTATCCCTTCCATTATGTTAAGTACAAATTAGCATACACACAGCTGTAAATGTTAGAAGATAGTACACATGCTCCTCAAAAGTGAGCAGCTAGATTGGAGGAGCCTAAACTGCCAAGGTTGGTCACTTTTTTTTTGGAAAATATAGTTATTGACACTATGACTACTCATTCAGTTTAGAGTGAAACTTTGCTGACTCATTATAAAGAAGCACCAGAAAGAAACATCTTCTAAGAGGAATCCCTCTTGGGATTACAAAACGCTCACCTGAAGAAGAATGACAGGGTGTAAGGTGGGAAAAACATGGTGATACACAGTGCCTAAAGAGCCAAGAAACTGCTGGTGTGACAATGCTGCTGCCTGCACAGAAGCTCACAGCAGAGGCTGGACCCCTGCACCAGCCTGGGGAAGCTGCTCTCTGCCCCACCAAGGCTGTTCAGGGCTGTTTTGTCTGTAGCCTTCAAGGAAGACAAAGGTTTCTAAGCAGTCTGGAAATCAAGGTGCAAAAGTGTGATCTATCACCCTCAGCCACCTCCTAGCTTACCTGTGTAAAACGTTGTGTTGTTGGATTCCAGTTCAAAGATGCTTTTGGTCTGCGAATCAAACCGAAGCCATAGCCCAATTGCAAGAACTGCTGTCCCTGCAAGCTGCAAGAACAAGACAGACCTGTTAAATCATACCAAGTAATACATTCACTGTTGCATGTGGAACAACCTCAGAAGTAAACACAGGATACAGCTCTTATTTAAAGAGCTGGTGGCAAAGAACTGGCATGAAAGGCTGGGAATACCGACACACGGACAAACTCAGCTCCTGACATGAGGCATCTCGTTGACAGAGGCGTTTACATTTTGAACTACAATGCTACATGAGAACAATGCCATTCTTGTTCTTTACTGAAAATACTCAAGGTTTACCAGCGTGCCAAGTGTCAGTATTTCCACTGGCCCCTCCACCCATTGTTTTATTCTGGGTGACTAATGACAACGCACAGCTTAGTGATCTTAAATCTTCAGGCTGAGATACAAGCGTAATGCAAGGATCAAGAACCTCCCAAGGCCAGCTATAGTTTAGCATATTGAACAGACTGGTAAGAATTCAGTGTCCCACAGCAGAGAAATCAGAGAGTGCTCTTTCTTGCTAAACAGGATGAAAACAATCCAGCAAGTTACTGCACTGACAGGAAGTAGAAAACACATGCGGTTGAAATACCAGCATTGCTGTGTGATGATCTGGAACGATGCAATCAAGTTTCAGGTATTTTTCATTTTATTTTATAATCATCTCTACCTGTGTGCCCCCAGATTCCTCTTAACATTGGTGCCTGTGTTTGTGCCAAGTCATGGTACACAAAATTAGTTTCTGGACTAAACATCTGGCAGAAGGCATCAGAGAAGTGTTGAAAGAAAGAGGGAACTGCAGTCTGGTCAGGCAAACACTAAAATTTGTTCTGAACACATTGAATCCTTGCCAACTTAAAAAGAAAAACTTCAGGTCATCTTGCGTGCAAGAAAAATAAACCAGAACAAACTAGAAAGCTAGAGAGTCTGCTTCTCAGCTCTTCCTTCTCTCCTTTGAAGACCACTTAAGAAAATCTCTGCAAAAGTGATATGAGGACAAAAATACCACACATTGCATCAGACATAAAAAATTTAAGCTTAAGAGTGAGCAATAAACTTAGTAATCTTAGAGCTATGGTTAGGCAAAGAATACATAAAAAAACCAAACGAACAAAACCTTATCTCAGATAAGAAGTTGCTTCCATAAGGGAAAAACATTCTTGATTCACCTCCAAAAACCTGGGAATGTCAATTTACAGTGTGAATATGGAAGGCCCTCCCACAGAAAGCACCTGTGGGTATGCCCCTTCCACATCAAGCACAGCTCCCTCAGCCCCACGCTTTCCCCATAGGAAGCCCAAGAGCCCTTTCTCCCTGCTATGGGAGTGTTTGCCCTCAAAGGCAGGTACAGGTTGGATGCCCACGGCCTCCTAGGCTTGCTCTTCTAAGAAAAAACAACAAAAAAGCCACCAGCAAAGCAGGGAGAGCTTTGAAGATTCACAAAGGATGTAAGGATAAGTGAGGGTTTAGTGAAAGGTATATCCCTTGTAGCTTCTCTGCAAAAAGCATCCCAAGTGCTGAATGGTTCAGGTATCAGCAAAGAAAAGCAACAGGCCAGCTGTTCCAGAAAAACCAGCATTTCTTGTATGATAGGCACCTGACTCCCAAGCCTGTCTCAAAGAGGAGCTGCAGGGTTTTAGCTGGGAAAAAGATGAAGTGATATGCAAGCCATAAGGAACCAAGCCCAAGCTGAGGTTTCCAGACGCATGCAAAAAGCCCTTTGTTGGTGTCAGAGGCAGGCAGAAGGCTTACTCACACAGCATGCAGCCAGGACAAAGCCTGCACATACCCACTGCCTTCCTTGTTAGGGCTATGCTGACCAAGTTCTGCCAAAGAGCCTTGGTAGTACACAGTGTGTCACAGCAGTGTTATTTCAATGCACTGCTCTGCAGCAGCACCCCAGGCAAAGGGAGGGGTGCAAGGAGGGGACTGGGAGAAAGAAAGGGTTACTGCTCTACCTCTGCTCACTGCTACAACATCACCTAAAAGCTTTTGCAATCTCCTTTCACTTCAGTTCAAATGCCTGGAGAACTTAGCAATGGAAAAATTTCACACATTGCTTCTAGCCTGCAGCTAAATCACCCAGGAATTAATAATACTCCGTTTGAAACTTACTTTCCTGGCTCATCAGTCTTCAGCTTGTATAGGCATCCAGACCTGGAGCATTAGAAGAAACTTATGGGCTCTGCTTGTTTAGCAAAGCTGTGAGCCCCAGCACACTCAGCTGTCCAAACCCACCAATGTTTGTGGTTTGACAAGCCTCAGTGCTCGTGTTGAGAGCTCAGGGCAGGGCTACGAACAGAGCAGGGCAAAGGTCTGGAGAACTAAACCCAGAACCGATCCCCCAGCAGACTTTTAAGGCCAGAGTATTCCAACTGTGAAGAAACTCCAAGCCATATTATAGCCACGTAGATAATCTTACAAGTCCAAGCAAAGCAGAAGGGCTCAGTTAAGGATTTTGTCGTGAAACAATCGGATTGGTTAACATTAGGGAGAGCTGATGTACTTCATATGGCTCCTTTTAAAACACAACAACACAAAACCAGGCTGAACTCTGGGTGCTGCAGGGAGAAGCATTAAGTGCCTCCTTGGGGAAACAGTCACCCTGTGAAAAAAAGTTCTGATCACAAGAGACTCATGGGATCACAGAACACAGATTACTCGATGCTAGTGAACTGCTCCATATTGCTAAATAAACTGTAGGATTAAATAACTTGCTAATTCTCTGCGTGGTGGACTGGAAAAACACAGCTCTTTTTTTGCAAGAAAAAGTGACTTTTTGTTTAAGGAAAGCAAACTTGTGTTCTCAGTTTGTGCTCTTCCTACCCACAATGACCACTAAACTGAAAAAAACCCCAAGCAAACCAGAACAGTTTTAAAGCAGAAGGCAGGAAAGTAATTTGAAACTTCGAGTTCTCAATAAAACTATGATGGAGCAGAGCCCCAACACTGGACTTGGAGGTAGAGGCAAGCACAGCCCCACAGGCACCCACTGTGCTTGGCAGAGGTTCAGACCACTCAGACCAACCTGGCACACTGGAGGCTACTCCCCAGTGCTATGCCAGTAGGTTTTGGCAGCTGTGTTGTAGTGGTTTTGGTAGCTGTGTTCTTCCTCCCTGGGAAAGGGGTACAAGCCTCTCCACCCAGTCTGTGTGGAAGCAGATCCCTTGATGCACTGGTTGTTGGGTTTTTAATTCAAGTGTTTTCCCAACTTAACAGACCTGTTCTGTTATAGGAGTTGAGTAATACAGGATATTTCTAAGTACATCTGTCCTGTGATGAAAATGAAATTTAACAGAAAAAAACCCCTAGCTGTCTGTTTTGCTGAAGCCAATCACTTTGTGTGTGCAAAGATCTACTGAACTAAGAAAACAGCAGGTTTGCATGCTTATGAAATATGTAAGAAATGTGATCCTGTAGTAATAAATATAGGGAACTCAGATGACAGCTGTGGTTCTTTTAACTAGTCCTCAGAAACTAGGAAGTTGCAGGGATACTACTGACTCACTGTATCAGCAAAGTCTGTGGCAGTGGTTCTCCAGTAACAGCATGGCCTGGCACAAAGAGGTTGCTGACATCCCTGCTCAGACTAGTAAGCTTCCTTGTTTTTTCCCTAGCCACTACTAACCCAGCTCACTCCTGCTTGACTTGCCTCTATCCTACAGTTGCAGTGAACATAAACTAAGAAAAGATTAGAATTCCTGGTCATTTCTCCTCTTAGTCCTGCGGAGGCTTCTTGTCTTTTTTTTTATTTTTATTTTTTTGCATCTCATGCAAACATGTCTTCATTGTCTCAAAGGTTCTACTCCTGCATATATCTTTCTGCCTGTTGCAATGGAAAAACAGTTTTGGTTGTTTTTTGGGGTTTTTTTTTTTGGCTTCCTTCCTTCCTTATATAGCCCTGCACTTTCTCAAGTCAGTGCAGGACTTCCCTCCTCCCACCCATCCACCCTCTGAAAAGCACCTTCTCCAAACTCAGCCCTTCCCATTGCTCCAGTGGTTCCATTGCAAACCACATTGTTTGGTCTCTAAGCATTAATACAGAGACACACTCTTAGATATCTTTGACACTCTGCTTCCTTTTAACCTTCAATGTGGCAAGAGATAAGTGACAAAGGATCTGCACCACTGCAGAGGGCAGTCGCTATATACTTGAGATGAGAAACAACCCAACTATCCTGGAGGCAGAAGCCATACAGAACACTCTGCTTTTCTCTCTTCACAGTACTTGGCTCACTTCAGCATCAACTTGAAGCATTTCATGCTGGGGCATGCTATCAAGCAATTTTTCCTGTATTTTTTTCACTTTATCAGCCAGGGTTTCACAGATACTGTCTCCTAGCAGAAAACTGGCACAAGGAATTGTTGTACTTGATACTGATGTAAACATACATTAAGAGCTTCAGCATTTCACTTCAGGTTTTCAAACTAGAAATTCCAATGTTTAACATGTCCCCATGATACAGCAGTGTACAACACTACTTTGGAAAGCTGGAAAGTTTATCTCAGTTTTAACCACTATTTTGCAAGGACCATTTTCTGCAGTCCCTTCTGGCCTTGTCACCTTGATTCATCTCAATAAAGGACAATCAGGCAAACACCTTACAGCATCTTTCCACTGACAGAATGGCCTTCCTAAGAGGCTCAAGGAAGCAGTTATCAAGCCCTTAGAGCTAGCAGATCAAGCTTTGGGAGGGGGACACTCCCACCCCAGGCATCTGCTAGGTTGTTACCAGTCCTTCCTCCACTTCCACTGCATGAAGGCAGGGACAGAGAAGGAACGAAACACTACAAGAACTCCTGATATATGGATCAAAGCCTACAAAAAAACCTTTTTTTTTTTACAGGAAAGAACAGGCTCTGCTAAGTTAGCACATTCAGGCTGTGGGAAACTTCTCTTTTTCCCCACGTAAGTCTAAACAAAAGGCCAAGCCCGCATGCAACTTCCATCAGGTTTGTGACATTTACCTCTGGCAGAAGTCAAGTCAGTATATGAACATACAGCAGTCAGTCAAAATTAAAGGCTAGTTTCAGTGTTGTTAGCTCAGCACTGCATCTAAGAAATTTCTGTTTATTAATTTATCTTTTTTTCTAGAAGTAAAAAGGCATGTCAGGCTCTTTGTGACACTTCTGTATGTAGGTTTTGCACAGAGTACCAGAAGCACAATGAAAGAGCCACTATCTTTCCTTTGCCTCATAA